TTGATTTTTCCTTGCTTTTCTGGGAGCCTTTTCTTATGAGTAATATTTTATTTGGGGGAAATGAAGAGGGGGGAGTTTGATTCCTTCCCAGAGCAGGTTGGGGTGGGGTGGGGTGGGGTGGGAATGTGGATTTTGAAGTAACTTTCCCCTGGAGTGGGGAGGAAATGGGGATTTTGCAGCATCCTTCCCCTGTCATGCCCACCAAGCCACGCCATGCCCACCAAGCCACATCCCAGAATTGGTAGTAAAAATTTTTGAAACCCACCACTGTTTCAGTGGTCCATGAAAGTACATCTATAGTATGTAGATAATAAAATTGAAAAAAGGTGAAACAACATTTTTACAGAACTATAGCTACACTGAGGCTGGGTGTGACAAGGAATGGCTGGGAGGGGAGGGGCCAGATGAGGCACCCCTTGACGTGAGTGACATTGAGTTGGCCATGCCCACCCAGTCACATGACTATCAAGCCATGCCCACTGTCACATGACCATCAAGCCACACCCACAGAACCAGTAGTAAAAAAATTTAGAACGCACCCCTGGTTGGGGTGTATGTATATTTATATGTGATATATGTGTACCACTGCATTTTCTAATTGTTGTGAGCTTTTCTGTAAGAGTCAACAGAAAAACAAAATCTAATGCTACTAAACAAATTAATAATTAACATTTGTCCTATTACTGTAACAGTAATAGTATTGAAAACATGGCAGAAATGACCACAGCATAAGATATGCGGGTAGGCTTAGCTTAGACAAGAAAACTTCTTATATCAGCTAAATTCACCCCAACAAATTTAATGGCCAAAATATGGAGAGCACATTTTATGCATCCTTTTTTAAGGGAATTACAATGTCAAAAAAAAAAACGATAAGAGATTTTGGATGTTCAGAATATATATTTTACAAATATTATAGGCCAACTTCATTGTGTATTCAAGAGGAGCAAAGCCAAAAATAATTTGCTTGCAGCATGCACAGAAATGAGAAAACCTAGGAATAAGAAATTCTTATCCCCTATCCTATTCAATCAGCTGAGCTCCATTAATCCTACAGATTTAACTAAGTAATGAAGAATAGTCAGACTTATAGAATTCTGGGCAACTGTTACTCTCATAGATGTAATAGAATGTTCAGGTTCAATATAAAGAACAATGCTACACAATTTAAAACTAGAGTTTGTGAGATATAATGTTATTTTATTGTATAATTTTATTCTATTCTGTTATCCTAGGGTAGGTATCGTGATGCATCTTAGGGTTGCAAAAATATAGATGACCATTAACTGGGAGAAAAGAGGTAGAGAAGTCTGTACCTCTTTTCTGATACTTATGATAGCTAAAGGAGACTGATAAAATTATTTTAATTAATTGACAATGAGGAGCATATTAATGTATTTGCTTAATTAATATAGTGCTTAATTAAGACTTGAAGAAAAGCTAATAGCACAGTTTAATTAAATTTTCCTTTACCATTAATGTTTTATTAAAGTTAACTACCGTAGTAGTAAGAAATAGTAATAAGTCATTGTAATTGGCTATCCTGAACCATTTTCTTCCCCCGTCCCATGCAGCTCAGGATTATTCAGTCGTTAGTCTTTGGTCCCCCTCTGGAATATTCTGCCTCCTCCCTGGGAAGTTGCAGTAGTACTGCCAACATTCCCCACTCACTCCTTTTTCAACTATACATTCCATCCAAGTTAAGAACTCGCAGAGATGGAGGGATGTTGGTTAGAGAAGGGATTGCAGATTTTTAGTGTGCTATAATGGTGAGTTGGAGATGGCTAGAGAGGTAAAAGGAAAAGGAACAAAGGGAAAAGAAGAGAAGTCACACAGAAACTAAGAACCGCAAGGCTCAGAAGACAATTCCAGGAGAAAAAGACAAAGTGGTGAACTGGGGAAGGGAGATTGCTGTTAGAAATATGGATATGTGTAGGTAACAAATATGGAGAAATTGTTAATCAGTTCAGCAATCCATCAGAATAAACATCTCAGACATTCCAGGCAAATCTGACCTGAGATAAAAAAGACTGACCATCTTGTCATTTTGCCAGCTCTTTTCTATTCAGAATCCATTATGAGTAGTGATGGTTGTTGCAAAAAAGTGATAGAAAACAGTTGTGTGGAATCCAAGAGGGTTCGGATAAGCAACCAGACTCAGTTATAACCAAAGAGACATATACAGTATAAGCTTAGTAAGTAAAATGATAAAATACATCTTCTAGCTTTTAGAAGGTTGAGAAAGTTTCTTCCTGATTGATAGATAGTAAGAAAAGACAATTGTTTTTCCTGTGTAGCCAAATAAACATTGGAATAATTTCATTACTCCCTTGTCCTGCTGAATATCGCATGTAGTTATTGTATGATACAACTGTACATGCCCTCTGTGTTCTGTGAGTTTCATACTTCAGAATAAGTAGTACATGTTAAGCTGCTTTTGTTTTTAATCCTTGGCATAATCCTTCATTAGTTTATCATGAGCTAGAGTCTGGGTGGTTATTCTAACAAATCCAACAAAGATTTGTTCACCTGCTGCCCAGCTCTGTGGAAACCTGTGTTCACCTCGCTACCTAACAGGGAATGAATGGAGGGCAGGCTATTAGTCCATTAGTGGAGATTTTTGCTTCCAATGCTATCTCATTTCCAGGAACTTATTCATATTTGTATGAATTTAAGCAACACCCAGCTCTCAAGATTCTAAAAGCTTCATAATAAGATTAAAAGGAAAAGATATATAAATCTGATATCCACATTAAAAAAACCCAGAAGTTCAAACACCATGTAGTATAACACTACTAAAAATCAATCGTCAAATGCCTGCTGGAATAAAGCTATTTTCATTGCTCTATGGAATGCAAATAAGTTGGGCTCCTAGTGTATCTCTAATGTAGGGTGTTGTATAACCAGGCAGCTATGAATCAGAAGGATTGCCTTAGGCTCTTTGTCCCTTTGTGTTCTCGTGGGGACAGGACCCTAAAGCAGGGGTCACCAACTTTTCGGACCTCACAGACCACTAAATTCATAATTTTAAATCCCACAGACCACTAATATGATCTACCTAATGACTGGATGGGTGGGTGTGGCTAGGTGGTCATATGACTGGGTTGGCATAGCCAACTCAATGTCACTCACATCGAGGGGTGCCTTGCCAGCTTCTACTTTTCCCTCCCCTCCCAGCCACTCCTTGCCTACCTGCCCGGGCTCCTTAGGGCCCCAACAGGAAGCAGTTGTTGGAGCTAAGCAGCCACCACAAGGAAGAGTTGGCAAAACAGCTCAGTTCAAATTGGATCTGACCAAGAAGGAGGCTCAGTAGAAGCACCTCACTGAGGACTCCGAGCATAGGCTTTCCAAGCAGAGGTAAGACCTGCGGGAGTGCAAGACCAGGTACAGGCGCTTGGAGGCTCAGTGGGCTGAGATGGTCAGCCAGTTCCAGGCCATGATGCAGTCCCACTGGAACAAGGCCCTCCAGCTCTTTGCCACCAGCGGCACTTCCCTCCAGCCTTTACCCAAAGCCCTGGACCAGGAAGCCGAAGCAGACCCCAAGTTGGAATTTCTCCCCCCTCCGACCCACACAAAAAGACCACCCCTGATTTAGACCTATATCTCAAGACACCAAGTCAGGATTTCCACACCATTTCTAGCATGACTTGAGGTAGTAATGTATAATAGACTATCATGATTATCTTTCTAGGTTGAGAAACAACTTCTTTCTATTGATTAACACCTCACAGACAGCACAAATAATCATGAACACAGTTTTAACTAAACCATGTGAAATACAAAAGGGAACAAGAGAAGATTGCCCACTATCTCTTCTCTTATTTATTTTAGTTCTTGAAATACTAAATAGAGATATAATACAATATGAAAAGATTGCAGGTATAAAAATTAAGAAAGAATCATAATAAGTTAAGAGCTACTATAGATGACTTAGTTTTGATTTTGGCAGAATCTTTAGAGCGGAACCAATACTAATAGGTGCCTTGGGTGCAATCCTAAAACATATGGAGCATCATTTGAACACCATCAACATTGACAAAATCACCATCAGTCAATGCCAAATAGCATTTTTACTTGAAACAGCTAACATCCTGCAATGATGCCAATAACATAATCAAACAAGAACATCTGTCTATCCCAGGTCCTTAGGAAGAACTTGATAGATGTATAAAAATGCCAAATCCACTGTAAACATCTGGCTTGAGTGACTAATAATAATAATAATAATAATAATAATAATAATAATAATAATAATAATAATATAGGTAGACACGTCACAGTGAACAGCAAGAGTATTGTCCCAACCACTCATCCCCAATACGAACTAAGTTATTCAAAACAAGACAGCTGCATACCATTCTATGACACAATTAACAGCATACTATTGCATTGTCTCAAGGTAGGCCCAAACATAGGTTCCTGTCATATTCATTGTTTATTTCCCAGTATTTTTATTCTAAAGATCTCTTCATTCTTTTCATTTCTCAGAGATAAATCAATGGACTTTTCATATTGGCAGCATTCTTGTCACTTCTTTATTCTAGAAAGCAACTAGGATTGCCCACCAGATTACAGGGAAATCCTCAAGCACCCTCGGGAAGCCTTCTGGATCAATCAGACACCCAGGGCAGACCATATAAAAGTCTACCACTTTAGCAAAGAAGAAAGGTAATATAAATGTAAAGCTTGTACTTTAATTGCCTCACATCGCTGAGGAATTTTCTCAGCTACTACAACAAAAAGAGAATATGTCCAGCTGACCTACTTTACAAGGCATCCAGCATATTAGGGAGATAAAGTCTCTTTTCTTAAAAGGGGAAAAACCTTCTGTTATTTGCATTAGGAGGACATTTTGTGCTGGTACCCTTATGCATTTTTAAAAAGATTATTGCAGATTGAGAGGATGGACTTTTCCCTAAATTTTAGCATGAGAAGAAATGGTTAAAAGAAATGTGTTATGTTCATGTGATATATTGATAGTGGAAATTATTTTATATTACCTGGCAAGGCCTTTTCATTTTAATTGCTATAACATGGTATCTGTAACAGCAGAGTTCACAAGTCCATGATCCTCTTTCACTGATCCACTTCAGTAGGCAGAGTTGATGTGTATATCTTACAGAGCCATCACAGCGACAAGGATTTAGCAACTCACCCTAGAAAAAGATTAAAAATTTAAATAAATATTAAACTTTTAAAATTCCAAAATGCAACACATTTTTTTTCAAAAATGGTCTTATTGGCTGAATAAATCTAGTTTTTTCTTTCAATAACATCATTTTGCAGATTCATTTGTAATCATCGTTACCTTTCTTATTCTCAAATTAATCTCAACTGTGGAATGAAAAATACAAATTCATAAATAAACATTCTTTATGTTGTTTTTCTTAGACTTGAGTTTCTCCCACAATTGAGGATCTATTTTGCACTGTTTGTTTGGTTCTCACAACAAAGTTTTTCAATGTATGAAGTAACAAGGCTCTTTGTTTTTCAACCAGCTTGTCAGAATCTGAGAGAGCTAAGAGGGAATGACTTGTCCAAATCACCAAACTGGCTGTTTTCTTAGGGAGAACTAGATTTCCCTGCTCCTAGTCTAGCAATCTACACCCAAATTGCACTACAACACATCGGCTCTCAAAAACATTCTTGATTATTTGTTTGTTTTAAAGTCTTTGTTTTAAAGTCTATCTTTATTTCATCATTTCAAAGAAATCAAAACTGCTCAACTATTGATACAATACAAAAATTTATGTTGCCTCATTTATCAGATTTCAGACTTTACTTGAGTAAATAAACATATGCATGTAACAACTGTAAGGATATATAAAAATTCTAATACACAGCAGTAATTCAGATTGTAATCCTTAATTATTAGACTACAGGTAGTCCTCAATTTACAATTATAATTGAACCCAAAATTTAAGTTGCTAAGTAAGAAATTTGTTAAGTGAGTTTTTCCTCATTTGTTTTCTTGCCTTTTTCTTGCCTTTTTTGATTTCTTGACTTTTCTTGCCACATTTGTTAAGTGAATTGCTGCAGTTGTTAAATTAGTAACATAGTGTCAAGTGAATCTGGTTTCCCCTTTGTCTTTGCTTGTCAGAAGGTCACAAAAGGGGAACACATGACTCTGGGACATTGCAATTGTCATAAATATGAGTCAGTTGTCAAGCATCCGAATGTAAATCATGTGACTATGGGGATGCTGCAACGATCATAAGTATGAAAAATGGTCATGTCACTTTTTTCAGTGCCATTGTAACTTTGAGTGGTCACTAAACGAACTGTTGTAAGTTGAGGACTACCTGTATGGCATCTATGAAAAGAGAAGTATTATTATTCTGAAGATATATATTTCATTCTTTCTCATTTAGGCCTTCAATGTAGATTCTACTCGGAATGAAGATTATCATGTCAGCAGATGAAGACCTGCTCTAAAATAGAATAAGGTCTTCTCCGTCTTCTACAGTTCTACTGAATTTGCTTCAAGATGTGAGAAAGATCAAGCTCTCACAAAAAACACTTCCCTCATGCCAGGCTAAATTTATGAGCAAAACAGCTAACAGTTTTTAATTGAGGAGATTAAAAATGTTTCTGCTATTCAGCTCTTCTACAGATAGTTACATTGGCCTCATAAAAAATAGCCATGATGGTGCTGCCTTCCTCTTTCAGTAATATTGCTGTGATTGCCTCTAAAATTAGTGGAGGAATGAACTCAACCAAAAGCACTTGCTCACAGACCAAGCTGCAAGGGAAGCAGATAAGTTTGTCTAGGTCAGGAAACAATATATTTAGCACAGATGTTAAATTTCAGAACAGCCATTATTATCTAGACATGAAATTATATGTTAAAAGAAAAGATGTTCAAATAGACTGCCAATTAAAGCATATTAAAAGGATTGGAGAAAAATACACACTGCTGTGAAAAGAGAATGAGTAGACTATGAAAACACAACCATAGCAGAATGCTTAGCAAAATGCTTGTAACTATCTGGGGTGGGGTGGGGATGAAATTTAAAGGAAGTAAAAGGACAGTTACTGTACCTACATCTATTAATGTATTCAGTCAGCTCTATGCATCTATGAGTTAAATTAAAAACAGTAACACAAAGTTGCAAATTTGAAAAAAAAATATTAAAAAAAACAATAAATGGAAAGAGTATTTTTGCTAATTTAAAATATATATATAAAAAGACTACTTGCATAAAATCTAAATGTGATCAGATAGGCAACTTTACTGAATTGCCTAAGCTTTGATCAAAGTAGCTAAATTTACAGCATATTTACAGCATATTTATGGATCTCACTGACTCACAGCTTCCATCCAAGGACATGAACTTCCTGTTACAAAGACTTAGAAATATTGTAGGATCTATCTTTTACTACTTATTAGAATAATTAGAAGTTGCTATGTGGAGTTGGTATTCTGGCTCATCTACAAGCATGTTTTGAAATATAATGTAAAAAGGGAACAGGAAATAAATACAGAATTTCAAATCTCTAATTCTGATTCTTATACATTAAACAATTTAGACATCCCAGCCATATTTAAATTCTTTTAATGTTAAATTACTTGAATAGAGTTCCATTGCTTTAGTGGGCCCACTCACTGGCTGGTTTATATCGCTTAGCTAAAGTGTAATTTGCCTAGTTTTGGCTTAGTATGTTGCACAAACTCAGACAACTGAAATTCAAGCAAACCGGTTTTAGTATGATGCATAAACTCATTCTACTTATAGTTATAAATCTAAGAATGTTTTACTTATAGATGGATAAACCACTAGTTTTATTTAGAAAGAAAATGATTAAAAGTCAGGAGTGTTTATTAAAAACTAGACAATAATCTATGACTGTTTTCTAATCTATGAGATTTTCTTTCCGGATTCCTCAATACTTTCAACAATGGCAGAACTAATGTACTTGAAAAGTTCTTAGAAATTCAGGAAGATATTCAGAGATGTATCTGTTCTGAAAGTAGCCTATGTTGATCTGTATAGTACAGTCAAGCATCAGGAGTTGAGCACAGGAAATCTTTCATGGCATTTTGCATTACGCCATAAAATACTTGTTGTCAACTTTTGTGTCATAGAGTGTTTTATAAAATTTGCCAAATTTTATTTTTAAAAAATTTAAAAAGCAATTCCATGGGAGACATAATTCCTCAATTTTGAATGCATTCTGTAAGTTAGCCCATTTGAGGTACCTTGATTGAAAAGATTTTGCCCTATGATGTACAATTTCCTCCAGATAAAGGTTACAGACATGAAAGTTTTAGCAATATATGGATAAGCTAGATCAGCGCTGCTTAGTTTTTGAAAAAGTTAATATTAATGAGTCCATTATTCAATCTTTAACACTTGAATGCAACTGAAAGAAGACTGCATTTTTCTTGGGGCTTGTTTAAGATGCAATTGTCTCAAATTTTGGCTAAAGCAAGTTAAATGGGGACTTTCCTTCATTCATCTCACCTTATTAGACAGGTTCTATTCTATCCTAAAAGAGAAATTAATGATAATTTTGTTTGTGTTGGTCTTTCCTTCTCAGCATTATTAGAGTTGAGTCGTGATAAAATTTTAATTTAACTGAACCAAATGATTTAGGATTTAGATATGCAAAATAAAAGAGCTACTATTTCCCACCCCTTTTATAGTACGATTGATTCCCCTCCCTGGATTGTCCTAGATATTTTTTTCAATATTATATATGCCCCTCAAAGGAGACAATTTGTCATGGCATGAATTGAGATGTTACCTATTAGAGAAACCACTGGTATTTAAAAGTCTCCCTTATGAAAGCTGTTGTTTTTTTTCTGTTCAGGCAGGGAGAAAGAATCTGTTTCACATGTGCTGTTACAATATCTGTTTTACCCAGTGACAATTGAACTTAATATTTACAATTGTTAACAACTTTAATTCTGTTGTAACAAAGAGGGCTGTCATTGTGTGACTGGATTCTTTTAGAACTGAATGTGTATTCAAGAGTACAAGGATGACAATTGACACAAGGTAACCAAGGCAGTAGAGGCTTTTATGCTTTTTCACTATATGCAACAAAACTATTTACAATAGATATTTACAACAAGATCCTGGTTTTTACCTAGTTTTAGATTTCTTCTCAACTCTTTTCTAAAGATTACTTCCTTCTAAATCTTCTCCTAAATGCTTCACTTCTTCTTCCTTCAATTTGTCTGCATTGCCCATTTCTGGAATCACCACAAGAGAATTAAAGGAAGGAATGTGCTGGATTTATGAACGAGTGTGCTAAATGCTGTTAATATTCTTTCTTTGGATCTCTTCAGATGATCATCATCTGCATCTCCTCTGTTAGGAGATGAACTTCTCTTGGGCATCTTTTTCTTATTCTTTCCCTAGAGACTAGGGCTTTGCCGAAGAGTCTGACACTCTGTCCATAGCCAGCCATCTCCCTCCTACCCATATGCCATCTCTCTGGGATTTTGCTTCTATTCCCCCAGGAAAGTCATCTGTTTTCTGCTCTCTTTCTACAACCACAAACTGACAACTGCTCCACACACATCAACATTTCTTCTAGATTTTTTTTCTGGCTTCTCCAGCCATTCCCTTCTACAATAGTCTTTGTAGTTGTCATTTTGTCTCTTTATTTCTCCTCTCATTTTTTCCCACTCTTGCTTGCTCTCCAATTTTGGGTTAAACTAGTATCATGTTGTCCAGCAACTAAGGAGATCTTCATCCCAGGGATCTAGAACCCCACACCTATATGCAAGGCCTGGCCAATGGCAATGCTGTCTATGTCTGCCCCACAACAATTCTGGCTAGCAGCCAGGTCAACACATCAGCCCTTGGGACAGTACACCTGTCCTTCAAGGCTAGAATTGAGCTTCTTCTTTTTTTCTCTCTCTCCATTTGCTGACACACACAACGAGTTACACCAGATCACTAAAAACATGCTATAATGCCATTGCTCTTCTTTAGGGTGACCATTCTTCAGAAACGTCTAAGAAGATTGTAAAATTGCTGTCAATTGCTATAGCTGATAGAAGTCATCTAGTTTCTCCCCCATGCTATTGTTAACTGTATTTTCTTGTAATACTTTCAGGATTTTCTGTCAATATTTTTCTTCTTTTACGGTATTTATGGTATTGTTGGTCTTTTTCATGTATTTGGTATTGAATCATAAATAAATTTTAACTTGACATAAAGTAATATTAGTTAAAGAGCAGTTCACTGACATAAAGTGGGACTCAGTTCCATGGGTAAATGTGAAATGAACAGCTAAAATAAATTAAGTAGGACAAAGATAGGAATGAAGAATAAAGCTTTTTTGCAGTTTAACGGTTCAAAGTTTAATTCAAGGTCATTAACTGATAAATGGGATGTTGTGAGAAAATGCTAATGCTATTGATTTTAGAAAAATCATAATATTCATTAATGAAAAATAGTATGCAATATGCAATACTTTTAAAGCATTTAAGAAATAATGAACAATGGATGATTTTTCTCAAAAGATATTGAATATGATGAGAAAAAAACTATTATTTCATGTCAAAAAAATCTTTTCATACTATATTCATACAGAGAAAATGTGTGAAGTGAAGATCTTCATCAAACATCTACAAAATGCCAACAGTAGGGACCTCGTTAATTTCAAGAAAAAGAGTGGTACAGATTGTAGAGAGCAAGCATGTATGTCCATGAATTATTATAAAATGATACTCTGTGGTAGTGGGAACTTACAATATAATATCTTCCAATTACCATAGGGACTGAGTAAGTCTTAATATTGCAAGCATTCTATCAAGCATCCTGATCCCAAATTACTTAATGCTTTATATGTCATAACTACAATATGGTTTGATGCTAACTGGCAGCTAGTGCAATTGCTTTTAAAGAAATTTAACATGTTATATAAACAGGCATTCTACTCAGCAATATGGCTGCTATTTTATGCCTAGCTGTAATATCCAGGGCAAGGGTAGTCCTATGAACAGTACATTACAAAAATGAAACATAAGACTGGCAATACTTGCACAACAGTAGCTTGGTTGGCTCTGTTCAGGAAAAGGCATAATTAGTGCATGTGCCACAGAAGTTATCTGGGCATTCAATGACAGCTCTGAGTTTATGAGTACATTTAAATGACAAACTCTTGTTGAGGGATTGCAACCATTTGAGAATTTGGGAAATGCCAACATGGTCTTCCTCTTGTGAAGATTTAATACAAAATTTTTGAGGTCATTGGTGTTCATTAATTGTACCTGCCCTGTGGAATGAACTGCCCCCGGAATTGCGCAAGATCTCCGACCTCCGTGTATTTCGCTGTGCCCTCAAGACCCTGCTGTTCTGCCAGGCTGGGCTATCAATGTAGAGGATTTTAAACTGGGTGTTTTAAATTTTTGGGTTTTAATTTGGCCGAAATTATTGAATAATTTTAATTATTTTTTAATTGATGTCTGTATATTTTTGTGTTTTTAATAGGCTGTACACCACCCTGAGTCCTTCGGGAGAAGGGCGGTATAGAAATAAAATTATTACTACTACTACTACTATTATTATTATTATTATTATTGTTATTATTATTATTATTATTATTATTATTATTATTATTATTTAATCTTTAGTGAGATTCACAGCCTTTGAGGCTGGTTAATAGCTCAGCAGCTCGAGTCCTAACCAAGGACCTAGGAACTGTTAAGGTATTGTCGGAGGATGTAAGCTGTTCCGAGTAAGGTGGTTTTTTGTAGAGTCAAAATGTTCAAGTCCGGCAAATTTAGAATTTCTAAATAATGGGGTAGCCCTTTGGGTATTGCTCCAAGGGCTCCAATTACAATTGGGACAACACATGATTTCTTTTTCCACAGTCGCTCAACTTCAATTTGCAAATCCCGGTACTTTGTGATTTTTTCTTGCTGCTTATCTTCAATCCGTGCATCACCAGGTATTGCAATGTCAATGAACCATACTTTTTTCTTTTCAACTATTGTTATGTTATGTAATATTATTATTATTAGTAGTATTAGTATTAGTATTAGTATTATTATTAGTATTAGTATTATTAAAGCTGTATTTCTCAATAAATCAACCATAATTCTGAGAGAAACATCTGCTGTAGGAAAAATCAATGGCAAAAGCCAATGGGGAACATTATACATTTTATTTAAATAAACCTATTTTTAAATTTTACAAAAACTGTTTTTATCAATACATGGGCATTGACTTCACAATATTAATTTCACAAATATATTTTCCCCAAAATATTTTATCCTAATAGGACAAAATTCTCTTAACATAGAGACAGCCTCTTCAGGAATGAACAGATCACTGACTCCTTTCGAGGTGGTGGAACTGTTCCATTACATAATACATCTACAACTCTCTGTATCCATTCAAGAATAGGCAATACATTACAAACATTTTACCCATATACTATGAAAACTGGAAACAATCCCACTAATTTACCTCAGGTGACACATACTAGATACTTCAGTACAATGGATATCAAAAACAGTGTTTTAAGGACCATGAAAATAAATTATTGTATCCTCAAAATGTCTCACTAATCTGTTACAATGGGTGTATGAGGACTCCTGCACTGAGCCTTGCAGAGTAAATGGCAATAAGAAAATTTGTTTGTTTGTTTGTTTGTTTGTTTGTTTGTTTGTTTTCTGAAGAATTATGCCTGGCTACCTAAGAAAGCAATGGAGGATACAAAATAAGACTTTTGTTGCCATTGTAGATGTAACTGAATATACTAAGCCAAACTCAGTTAGTTTCAATATAAATTTGAACCATATACAATCCAGTTATTTCTTGGCTAGCTTTATTTCCATTTCCAGAAAACCTGAGAATGTGTTTGTACGTTAAATTTCGTATAGCAAAAACACTTAGACTTACATACCGCTTCACAGTGCTTTACAGCCCTCTCTAAGCAGTTTACTAAATCAGCATATTGCCACCAACAATCTGGATCCCCATTTTACCGACCTCGGAAGGATCGAAGACTGAGTCAACCTTTAGCTAACTGCCAAACTGGTGGCAGCCATCAATCAGCAGAAGTAGCCTGCAATATTGTGTTCTAACCACTGCGTCACCACGGCTCTCCAACATTGTCAAACAGTACATTTAGTGATTGTCTCAATGGCTCTTTCAGGGTCCAGCTACATATATAAAAATCCTAAGCAAATGAACCTATCATCTTAGAAGCTGAGGAGCCTAATGTACCATGAGGCAATGGATACAGACCTTTACATTCCTGATCTAATTGTAGAAAAGGCAAGACCATTTAGGATTGGGAACAAGATCAGATCTGGATTAAAATATAAAAGATTGAAAGCTGGAACTGAAGCAAAAGTTTTGCAGAGTCCAATCATAATTAATCAGGGCTATTATGAGATGTCCCTGGATGGAATGAGAAAGTTACTTGGGTACTCTGCCAATGGCACCATTTCTAAAATTGTACTTTTCCTGACTCTTGGATGAAATGTGACATCTGCTACCCTTGAACCTGATATTTTTGGTACTTCTTGCTGGAATTTTAATTCTTATCATGGATTAGAAACATTGCTACTGCTTGGTTCCCTGCTATTCTCAATCTCAATTTTCAGGATGATGTACAATTTATAACCATTAATATATCTGTGATTTACAACCCACTTGTTTGCAGTTCACTGAACTGAGTTAAGCTTTGAAAGGCCCTTCTGTTTTCTCAGCCCTTCTGTTTTCTCAATGTTCCTGATGATTAATATGTCATCAGGAACATTAATGGAATAATTGATACTTGCTTCAGGAAAATACACTGGAAATTCAAGAATCTATCAGATTTCATAAACCTCTGGAGTCAGGACATCTTAATAGATCCTCCTCTGGAATGGGGGAAATGAAACTTCATCAGGTGGTAATCTAAGCATATACCAACTTCCTTAATATCCATGCAGAAAAAAACTACATCTAAGGGATACACATCCCCAAAACTGTGAAAACTTGCGACAAAATTATACTTTTTACTGTGGCATTGGGAAAGCAATAATATTGTCTGTATTAAATTACTTTGATCTGAAGTTTACCATCAAATTAAACAATTTTTATTTTAGTCCTGGTCTAGTTTGCTGTTTTGGAATGTAATTTCTGCTATACATAAGTGTGATTCTTGATCCAAATGAAGGTGCATCCTGATCTAGGCTGCACTCATACTGATACTCCCATATAAAAATTAACACAGGCCAGTAATAAATGTCTATATAGGCGTGCACACACACACACATATTGCAGCATTATTAAGTATACAAAAACTAGGCTGTTATAAGGTGATAGTTTACAATTTATACTGATCTAAGCCACCTATTTATTTAAGTGAATTGCATAAGTTATCTTGATTGAAAGGCATTCAACCCTGCAGCTGTATGTCCGAAAATAGCTAATGGTTAATTAATACCGGATTCTTTGACCTGCAGATGTATTAGCAAGCCTCTATGCAACTTGCCATTGTAACAAGAAAGTTACCCTTACTTGTTCTTACTGAATGTCAAAAGGTGCCACCACCATGCTATCACCTCGTCATATAAGAGGTAGCATGTCTAGTCTGGGAGCTTAACCCCGCCTACTACAATATTATGATGATTCAACCCAGCGGCAAAACCAGAAACCGGATTCTTCACTTCCTCTTTTCTGCAGTGCTTTTCTAAAGCAGCCCCCCCCCCCGGCGCTGTCCGTGGTGCTGATGAGCAGCCCGTGGAGTTACTACTATTTCACTAATCGTATTTGAAGAAGCAGTATGCCTTAAGGGAGATATAACAAACGGAGCGGGGGCGGAGGCGCGTGCGGGACCCCCCCTCCTTTTCTGCTTCTTCCTCCCTGAAAGTCATTTAAGGCATCTTAACCTGTCATTTAGAAGCATGAGACTCTCTGTGGTTCCCAATCGGGTCTCAGGACTACAATTGCTGCCTGATTTGGGGGGGGGCAGGATGGGGGGGAATGGCAGGCTGCAAATCTGCCTGCCCATCCTTGTCAATGGAAGACTCTCCCCCTCCCCTCTCCCCTCTCCTCTCTGCGCCCGTCTCTACCCCAGAGCTCACCTGCTCAGCGCCCTGGAAGCAGATCTTGCAGATGGGGCCGGCACCGCCCCCGCCGGCTTCCCAGCTGCTGTTACTACACACCGAGCGGGTCTCGGGTTTCTCGCTCTGGCCAGTCCCGCCCTTCGCGGAGCGGTTACTAGGGCCCGGCCCGGGCGGGACTCCAGTCGCTTTCCCAGCTGCTGTCCCAGGCGGCACAGAAGGAGAGGTGGGTTTTTGCTGCGGTAGATCCCCGCCGCCGGGGCTACCACCGTCTCCCCCACCGGAGCTCATGGGGGACACCGGTGTCTGACAGACCCCCCCTTTTTTTTTTTCACCCGCCTGCCCTGCCCGGTCGCCGCCCCCTCCTGCTCTGCGGAGGGGACAGGGCGAGAGCGAAAGAGAGGCGAGGCAGGCACGAGCCGCCTGCTGGCTGGCTGGCTGGCTGGCTGGCTGACGAGGGCAAGCGAAGCGGTCACCGCGTGTCAGCGTCCTCCTCCCTCCCACCCCATCCCTCGGTTTGGTGCGGGCGCGAGATTCCCCGCTTCTGACGCCAGCGGCTGCCTCAGAATGCGGTGGGTGAGAAACCGTTAGAGACCGTTACCGGGCACGAGCGAAAGGGGGGAGGAAGACGGAGAGGGGGTGGGAGGTGGGGAAACTCCGCCACCTGCACGCGACACGTGCCTCCTCGCGACCACCTTCCTCCCCCTCCCCCTCCCCCCCACCCCGACGATAAATGCTCTTTTCTACCCCCCACAGCCAACGAAGCAGCCATTCCCCTCAGAGGGCGCCAGATGCCTCCTGCCGACTTCATCATGTACCTCCTCCTAGGGTCCCAGTGCGCTTCCTTTTCCCCTCACAGAAGCCCCGGAGGGCCCCCCGCCCAACCCCGCCAAAAGCATTGGGGAGACATTTTTTCCTCAAAAGCGCCTGCACTTCTCGCACCTGTTCTGCTCGTCTTGACGCTGGTTTACCCTCTCAGGCATGTTGAAACATGTTGAAACATGTTTCTCAGCTTGCCTTCAGAAGTTGTAGGTGCTTCACCACCGGAGGTTTTTAAGAAAAGGCTGGGCAGCCGCCTGTCTGAAATGGGATAAGGTCTCCTGCTTGAGCAAGGAGTTGGACTAGAAGACCTCCAAGGTCCCTTCCAGTTCTATTCTGACTTCCATGTCCCAGTAGTTCAAATATGAGGATTGGCTTCAGAGTAACCCACCACGTTTGTTCAGTGATCCTTGAATAATCATAATCGCAAACTCTCAAAAGTCTTGAGTATAGTAAGAATTCTTCCCATGAGTGAAGGAGAAATGTTACACCTTTGTTTGTATCTTCCTGGTTTTTTTCTTCCCCATTTTCTCTTAAATATTGAGGAGGGGGAAGAGATCAAAATGCATAAAGGCAATATTTCTCCAAGAGATGTTTTAGAAAGTAACTGTGATGTCATCATAGCACATAGTTTAAGAACTATGCAGATTCATTTATTGCATTTATAGTTTATGAATTTATGCACTTATAAACCTCCTCGGTTAAGGATAACAAAAGTAACAGCTGCATTTGAAGAAATCCTAACACTAACAAGCAATGATATAGAATAACAGAAATACAATGTAATAATTTGACTCATCCTCCTCAGGCAGGAGATCCTGATGTATATATGTCACTTTCTCCTGCTCAGAACTAGAATATAATGCACATATTCTCTGTCTCCTGCTATGTTCTCAGTTTTTCCCACTTTGCATGAAGTGCTCATGCACACCCAGTGGAAAAACAATTAGCTCAAGAAGGGGGGGGGAGAGAAATAGGCTTATCCTCCAACTCACTCAATATTTGACATCTATAGACTTCAACTGAATGCCATATATGCACAAATATATCACATGTGGATGGCTTAATTGTCAAAAAGAGAATTTTAAAGCAGACAGCAAATTATTTATTTAAACCATTTGTTAATATATCCTGAAAGGACCATTTGTTAATATATCCTGAAAAGACCATTTTTTCCGCCTTATAAATGTATTTTGTTACATTATTTGCATAGTTTAAGGGGCTGATTTATTTATTACATTTATATTTTATATATTAATCCAATCAAGGCTAGCTTCTGTGGGCTACAAAAACAACAACTGCATCCAAGGAAATAGTAATACCAATAAATAATAGTATACAATAACAGAAATACAATATAAAATTAAGTACAAATTATAATTAATATAATAATCCTTAGTACCAGAAATTCTAGAGGGCTTGTCCAAAAGGCCTTTTGGAACAGTCAAGTTTCTACTATCTTTCAGAAGGCCAAAGAATAAATAATATTATTTATTTCAGAAGCCAGCAGTTCCAAAAAGGAGAGTCATCACAAAAATTGTTGCTTTGGGCACCCCTCCCATCATATTTCTGGATAATTGGGGATTTTCAACAGACATTCTCAGTGTCCCATGACTGGGCAGGCAGAATATATGCAGAATACATTCTGTATACAATAGATGGTCTTGAGGATACCCAGGCTCTGACTCATTTAGGGCTTGGGTATCTTGCCCACTGGCTATATATCAATAGCCAGTGATACTCCAAGAGCAATAGTGGTATGTGATAGTAACAAGACTGTCCAATAAGCATATTGGCCATTGGATTTTTCACCAACTGAATTTTCCAGGTCATCTTTAAGGTGGTCCCATGTAAAGCTGATATTCATTTATTTATTTAAAATAATGCCCCAGCCAAAAAGAAGAACAACCATTAAAAGGCAATGACACATGCAATATTTTAACCCAAGTCATGGAGAAAGAGCCTGATTTTCAAAGCTCTTTTGAATATGGCCAGGGTGGAGGCCAGATGTATTTTGAAGAAGAGGGGAGGATGTTCCAGAGAGCAGTGCTGTGACAGAGAAGGCATGTTTCTTAAATCCCATCAGCTGGGCCTGATAGGATCTACTTAGTAGATGGGTTCTGGGGCATGGCAACTCTGCCCAATTGTACAAGCCAGGAGAAGTCATGGAAGACAGTCCTTGGAAAACCAAGTTGTATAGCTTGAGAAACTACAGGTTTCCTGAATTACATCTGGAAGTCAAATGGTAACCAATGCAGCCCAAGGAGATATGCCCATAATCGCCCATGCCTCTGTATTCTGGATTAGATGCAGTTTCATGTATAATGTACAGCAGAATTACAGTAATTCCTGAACCACAAGGTCCTATGTTCAGTCACTCATGCTCTGATCACCTCTTCCATGGATTACTGTAATGGGCTCTACATAGAGCTTCCCTTGAGGACCATCTGGAAGCTTCCGTTGGTGCAAAATTGGTGGTGTGGACAGTCTGCACCTACATCATCATGTAATATTTGTCTGCTCCACAAATTGAATTGGCTACCAGTTTTCTTCTGAATTCAAGGTGCTAGTAATTACCTATAAAGCCCTACATGGCATAGAACTGGGATATCTGAGGGCCCACCTCTCCCAATCACATCTATGATCTATCCTATTAGGAAGTAGAAAAAAATGTGTTTTATCCAGAAAGGAATGTCATCTGTCAAGACACAGAAGGAGAGCATTTGCTGTCATATTGCTCAGCCTGTGAAACATCATCCCAGATAAAGTGAGATTGGCTCTGACTTTGTTAGCCTTTTGAAAGAGACTGAAGACATGGTCTGGAGATTCAGTGATGTTGGTGAAGAAACTGTTACGTGGTACTGTTAGGAAAATGAATGATACCATACTATCCCACAAATCATATGTTTTACAGTTTTAATAGTTTTTATTGTTAATGTTTTACAATTTGTGTGGTCATATTCTTTGGTTGTTTTTCTATTATTCTGTTATATTTTCAACTTTGTAAGCTGCCCAGAGTCAGGAAAGTGAGATAAGCAACACTATAAAACTAATGCATAAATAAAATCATGTGGGAGAAGACAAGATCATGAGTGACCCTCTTCAATGTCCCCAGTTCTAAGTTAGCCCAAAATTGATACCCCAGCTGAAATTGGACAAAAGTCATCCTGGCTACAGTTTCCAATTGCTATTCTAGAAGAAGCCATAAGTCTAAGACAAATGCAAAGTAGCAAGCCTGTTGTCCATATAGAGCACAATCCTACAAAGAGTCAAAAATAAGTCAGTCATTGTCTCTTAGGTTGAGCCTATTCCTCCCTATTCAGGTTCTGACAGTCTACAAACACTGGATCAAAGCTTCCACAATAACCTCATTCATCCCAAAGTGGAGATGTATAACTGGCCATCATCATTTCCCATTGGTTTCATACAGATGCATAAAAGAATAGGAGTAGGACCAAGCCCTGAGGCATCACATAATGTATCACCAAAGGGCTGAACTTTCCCCACCCAGCTCGAGAACTAATTAGAATATCTTAAGAACTAGAACCACTGTAAAATTGTGCCACCAACTTCCAAACTTCATAGGCAGTCCAGAAGCATACTTTGTTCAAAAATTCAAAAGCTATCTAGCAAGACAAGGACAGTCATGTTCCTATTATCCAAGCCTTGCCCAACTCCTCTATGTGCATGACCAATGTATTTTCAGTCCCTGTGCCAGAATCTGAATCCTGGCTCTCATGAAACTAAATAATCCATTTGTTGTAGGCACTTTGTAGTTGTTGTTCCACCACTTTCCCCACATAGGGAAGATTGGATATAGAACAATATTTGTCAAATACAAGTGCATACAAGGCAGTAGCTTGAAAATGGAGTGAACACAATGCCTCTTTCAGAGTTGTAGTCATTATGCTGTCCCACAATGAGGTATTCACAATATTCTATCTCTCCTATGGAAATGCAAGGCAATTGAGATGGCTGCTTTTAATCATTTTGTTCACACAATAGTCCTATTTCTAATCCTATGAGTGGTTAAACATAGTAAAATGATAAAAGAGATGACTGACATATGTTTTGGCTAGGGCAAATTTTCATGTAAAACTAAACATTAAACCACAGTGATGCCTCCCTTTTGTGTTCTCAACACAATCCTTTCTTGCTCATGAAGATTCTTGAAGAAATTGTTCAAATCATAGGGTTCTGAATAAAAAATGTATTTAATTTTCTTTAGATTTTGAAGGCTTCACAACTCGTTTAATTAGGAAATAACATTCATATTAAGGAAACTTCCGCTGGCTCCACGATCGCCAAACGGACGCTCCTTCAGGAGCTCCAGCCCCGTGATTTCGTTAGCCACTAGAACAGCGAAAACCGGCTGTTCAGTGGCTTGAAAATCTCCCCCTGGGAAAAAGGGGGAGAGAAGAACCAAAGGGTCTGGGTAGAGCTCCCCTAGACCCCCAGGTTTGTCTTTTTAAGCCTGGGGGTTGCAGGGTGAGCTCCCTGTAAGCCCTTCATTGCTCCGAATCCGGGACGAGTCTGCTTCATGCAGACGGAGGCATCGCGTCCACACCAGCAACGCAATTTTAAGGATCATATAGAATTTGGACTTTGGGT